GGTTGATGTGCAATTGACACGATCGATGGGAAGGACTACTCGATAGAAAGAGAGAAACGCCAAATGGTCGTTCAGTAAACTAATAAGGCAGAGACGGACTATTTTACTGTTTTTTTTCAACGGTATTGTACAAGAGAGAATGGGTAAAGCGGATGCCGGTGCTGGATGTAGTTGAATGATGTATTTAGCCATTTACTTGACTCGTCATGGCATGCGTTTTCTTTGAAACCTCTCACAATTTCAATTGTGCAACCAAGTCAACCACTGTAAATATTCAATCAAAACCAAATGGCCACTAGAGTCAAGACTATCGTCTGTGTGAGGGTATGCAATGGGCATCAAGAAAGGTGGACCTCATGGACTAGGATATCCTGTATCAAAAGCTTGGTTACAGTGGGTGATGAACTTACGACAATTGCTATTGATTGATTGATTACTCAAAATAAAGTGAGAACTCAGGTGTAAACTGACAACATACTGTACTATGCAAGTTGGATAACTGGCTAAAAGCTTTTGAGGTGATTACTCAAAATAAAGTGAGAACATACTGTACTATCCAAGTTGGATAACTGGCTAAAAGCTTTTGAGGTGATAACTCAAAATAAAGTGAGAACATACTGTACTATGCAAGTTGGATACTGGCTAAAAGCTTGTGAGGTGATTACTCAAAATAAAGTGAGAACATACTGTACTACTTTGCAAGTTGGATAACTGGCTCAAAGCTTGTGAGGTGATTACTCAAAATAAAGTGAGAACTCTGGTGTAAACTGACAACATACTGTACTTTGCAAGCTGGATAACTGGCAAAAGCTTGTGAGGTGATTACTCTAAATAAAGTGAGAACTCTGGTGTAAACTGACAACATACTGTACTTTGCAAGTTGGATAACTGGCTCAAAGCTTGCGAGGTGATTACTCAAAATAAAGTGAGAACTCTGGTGTAAACTGACAACATACTGTACTTTGCAAGCTGGATAACTGGCAAAAGCTTGTAAGGTGATTACTCAAAATAAAGTGAGAACTCTGGTGTAAACTGACAACATACTGTACTTTGCAAGCTGGATAACTGGCAAAAGCTTGTAAGGTGATTACTCAAAATAAAGTGAGAACTCTGGTGTAAACTGAGAACATACTGTACTTTGCAAGCTGGATAACTGGCTCAAAGCTTGTGAGGTGATTACTCAAAATAAAGTGAGAACTCCGGTGTAAACTGAGAACTTACTGTACTTTGCAAGTTGGATAACTGGCTCAAAGCTTATGAGGTGATTTGTATTTCCATTGTGCAAGTCAATTCTGAGCTTTGAAACATGTCTATTTGATAGTGAATAATCCATTGATTTCAAGACATATATCTAAAGTACCTGTATGGCGAATGAATAAGAGGCATTTCAACCATTGCTGGACTGAATCGAATGGAGGATGATGATTACCATAAGTGGGCATTAAGCCCGTTGATCATAATCCCCATGATGCAGATACTCAGCGTCAATAGCTTAAACGATGATCCATTATTCAAGGAGTCTTGGGGCATACAATATTGATAGTCTGAAGTATTACTGTAGATCGGGTGATGGCAGTAAGAAAGTTTTGAGCTGCGCATCGCAACGATTGAGTTTGCTATAGCCACTTGCTATCAAATACCAATCGAGTTTAGACAGATTGCTACGTTGGCTAAAGTATACTGAGGCTAAGAATAGTATAACCAATGTCGATCAAGTTCAATACACATGCATTTGGTGTACTGGACGTAAGGCATTTTACTTTAGTTGTTATAAATGAATTGATTGAATGGTCGACGAAGGCATAACGCAGTAAAAGAAGCTCTTGCAACAATATTGACCATACAACAGTTTTTACATCTGACTAAGCGTCCAATTCTACTGTAGGAGAGAGCAAGAGTTGTCTATCGTAGATCAGTAAAAGTGGCTAGCAAGACAAGAGTATAACATCAAAACACACCCATAACATCGTTCATGAGCCCACCAGCAGCCATGATCGATATTCTCTCTACGGTAGTAGTGCTGGAAGGAGCTGTAAATGGAGCAGCAAGAGTTGTCCATCGTAGATCAGTAAAAGTGGCTAGCAAGACTAGAGTATAACGTCAAAACTTGACATACAAACACACCAATAACATCGTTCATGAGCCCACCAGCAGCCATGATCGATATTCTCTCTACGGTAGTAGTGCTGGAAGGAGCTGTAAATGGAGCAGCAAGAGTTGTCTATCGTAGATCAGTAAAAGTGGCTAGCAAGACAAAATTATAACGTCAAAACACACCAATAACATCGTTCATGAGCCCACCAGCAGCCATGATCGATATTCCCTCTACTATCCCCTACCGTATGCTGAAGGAGCTGCAAATGGAGCAGCAAGAGTTGTCCATCGTAGATCAGTAAAAGTGGCTAGCAAGACAAAATTATAACGTCAAAACACACCAATAACATCGTTCATGAGCCCACCAGCAGCCATGATCGATATTCCCTCTACTATCCCCTACCGTATGCTGAAGGAGCTGCAAATGGAGCAGCAAGAGTTGTCCATCGTAGATCAGTAAAAGTGGCTAGCAAGACAAAATTATAACGTCAAAACACACCAATAACATCGTTCATGAGCCCACCAGCAACCATGATCGATATTCCCTCTACTATCCCCTACAGTATGCTGTAGTAGTGCAGGAAGGAGCTGCAAATGGAGCGGCCATTTTAATTGGCGCCAAAAGCTTTCCTTGACGTCATGCCCACGTGGGGTGGATCCACTGCGCTGTCATGTCCATACTATTACCTGACGATTATGGTAGTGTTTTAGACAGTACACTTGATCAACTAGCAAGGATGATGATGTCCCCGCCTCCCTTAGCATGTTGTCGATGATGGAATTTAGCTGCTCTAGGACAGTGTCAATGCTGTCGAAATAGAATTGAAATTAGCCATTCAAGCTGTCCTATCCCTCTATTTCCAATGGTAGGACGTCCAACACAGGCTATCGTGGATAAGCACCATGGCAAAATTATGTCTATACGAAATCATGAATCACCATGACGATTGGTGAGAGGAAAGCATACTCGTGTCGAGAACTATGTGCTATCGTATTCCAACAGCACGACGGTATGATACAGTAGATACTCACACGCCAGTATGGTTTGCGCCACTGGAAATCCTGCCCCGGACGTCCTAACCTATGTCTGTCTGTATCCTTGTTCTACCTTGCCCTATACTGAACAGTCGGACCAGATCGCTTTGGATTTCTGCCAGATCGGACAGCTCAATTGGAAAGAAGAAATTGCTACTTTGAGTTCTTGCTGCTTATTCGACGAGCTCGTCATGCCTAATATCAAGTTATTTGCTGGTAATTCTCATCCTGACTTAGGGAAAAGGATATCGGATCGATTAGGAATTAGTCTTGGCAGAGTTGTACTGAAAAAATTTGCTAATCAGGAGACATGGTAAGAGCGAGTAGTCCCATCGATGGACAAAGTCACGTAGTAGGCAACCAAGTGGACGATAGACTGTAATGGATGGCCATTTCATTCATCAGTTCTATATTATCAGCTAGAAGTAATAGCTGATTAAAATGCCTTCTATTTGCTAGTAAAATAGTGCTGATGCAATTGTTGAATAGCTAATCTTCATTGACATCGTATCATTGGATAAAATGACCTATTAGCAAACTCATACTAGTTTAATTGACCAAATCGTTGACCTCATGATAGACGATGACAAAATTGTTCTTGCACACGTTAGCACAATCACTTGGGCGTTGCGGGTAGTCCATGCTTTTTAAAAGAGATACAACGGGAATAAGTACAATTCTATCATTCTAGTACAAAGCCAAGATAATGCTTCTAGTAAATGGCACATTGGATGTCATCTGTAATCATTGGATACGACGATTAGAGAAAGTTTATCTTGCAGTGTTTGCCAGCTGCGACTACTACCTTATTCAGTAATAACTATGCCCTAAAGTCGAATGATCGATTACTGTACATGACAAGCGGTACACTCTGAGAGCACAAGTTGAAATCATCACTCATCATGGATTAGATCATGATGACCAAAGAATGAAAAAGTATCGCTGGAAAAGAGATATCGTACCGAAAGCTTGTCTTCTTTCACTTTGTTCTTGTCCATCGCGGGCACGTTTGATATAAAACGCCTTGTTAAATTGGTCTGCTCATCATATTCTCATTCAATAGAGTAGACTGCTGAAGAAGGCGATGTATATACTGTAGCTAATCTTGTCTGCGTATTACATTTTGGATCTGCTTTCTCTTCAGAAAAGACACTTCCGATCGGCTATCTTGTCGTATAATACTCGTATTTCAATCGAGTAGATTTTGCAAATGGGCTAAAAGCATCATAGGCCACTTGTACAACATTCCTCAGAAACAGGTGATACCAATCTAGCAACACCGTTTTACTTCTACATCTTTAATAGCCATCTTACTCTTTTAAATTGGAAACATGTGTAATTTGCCGTTAATTTATAGCAATTTGAGAATGAAAGCTGTAGTACAAAGTTCGATATGGATGATATTCTTGTAGTGCAGTATTACATCCAAGCAGCATACGTCCATCGCACAACTAGCTAGTCTACTATAAGTTGAAACTTTGAAACATTTCTTATCAACAGACTAAGCTTGCAAATTGGGCGATAGTGTTCCAATTTCAGCCCATTCTGCTCATAACCAATTGCGGCCACTAGCTTTTGGTACAATGTAGGATAGAGAGCAAGGTTGCTAATTCCTGACTAGCAATGTTATATATCAACTCGCTATGCATGTCAAATTTACCAAAGGCCATTCAATTTCAAGTTATTCTGCATATCTGCGATTCCGGTCACTAGTCCATAGTACGTTACAAAATGGAGTACATGGGATAATGCACAATGAGCGACTAGGAAGTTGACATATTAAATGATACAACATGCGCTTCTATGTCTGTCCTACACAGACTTGCATGTCTACAGAGGTTAAAATGACATTAACAATTCTTTTCCGTCTGTTTTTGACTTTCTACAATATCATTATCGTACGGTATTTGTCTAGACTGCCTTTAAAATCTGTGATAATTAATATCCAAATTCTTATAGGGTCTATCAATAGCAACATTAATAGAATAAAATCCTTATAATTTCTTATACCATTTTCCATCACAATATCATAGTGGCACTCCAATGAATAGTAATGCTCTAATGAACAAATATCTAATTGATATCAATTTAGTGTTGAGATCGGTGAGTCCGTTCGTGGTGAAGATGTTTATATTTTGCAAAGCGGTTGTGGTGACATTAACGATAACCTGATGGAATTGCTAATCATGATCAACGCATGTAAAATTGCTTCTGCCGAACGTGTCACTGCAGTTATCCCTTGTTATCCATATGCCCGCCAAGATAAAAAGGATAAGGTAAAAGTAACCTAATTTTCTGAATATTCATGCTAGCCGTAAACAAGTTGATACTAATTAGTATGCAATGTTGCCATGGTATAAAGTTGACTCAAGTTTACTGTATTTATCATGAAGTATTGTTTTTATTAAAATGCTGAGAATGCTGTTATATATATATACTTCAATTATAGAGCCGAGCCCCAATTTCTGCTAAACTAGTGGCTAATATGCTATCTGTGGCTGGTGCAGACCATATTATTACGATGGACCTACATGCTTCTCAGATACAAGTAAATGAAACAGTTTTGGCTTAGTATAATTGACAATTTTTAACTTGTATATGCTATAGTTGCAATAACCCCTTTCAGAAGAAACTGAGCTCATAATTTACCAGACAATATGTTATTTTGCTTTGTTAGGGCTTTTTTGATATCCCTGTTGATAATTTATATGCTGAACCCGCGGTCTTACAATATATAGAAGATAATATTCCAGACTGGCGTAAAGCCATTATCGTATCTCCAGATGCTGGTGGAGCTAAAAGGTAAAAATATCACATTATCTATTCAAAGATTTATTGTACTAATAATTATTGCTATCAACTGATTTGTACATAGTGATAAACTTGTATTACAGTATTGAAAATGGCTACAGTACCTAGTTACCCATTGTATCACTACATTTAATACCAATTGATTCATGTTATAATGTATGTCTTGTAATGTTAGGGTTACTGCTATTGCTGATCGCTTAAATGTAGGATTCGCCCTTATTCACAAGGAGGTAGGCTATTTAGTTGTATTAGGTTTATTATCTTAAAATTGAAGTAGATTATTTACATTCGGTATTTTAATATTATCGATCATATAAAATATATCAGCGTCAAAAGGCTAACGAAGTTGCAAGAATGGTTCTGGTTGGTGATGTCAAGGACACGACTGCTATTCTGGTAGATGACATGGCAGATACTTGTGGAACTGTTTGCACAGCCGCTGAAAAGTTAGTCTTAGTGTTAGATTCTAATTATTCTTGTAGAAATGGCGTAAATGTTAATTTTATTTTCTCTATAGATTAATAGAAGCTGGTGCTGCGCAGATATACGCCATTATGACGCATGGTGTTCTTTCAGGTCCAGCTCTACAAAGACTTGAAAATTCTCCGATAGAGTCGGTTGTTGTTACCAACACTATTCCGCAGGAAGACAAAATGAAAAGTTGTTCAAAGATATCGGTGCGTGGTCAATGCAAATTTAAAAAAATTAACAAATTTCCTCCAATCTTAGATAAACTGTATTATACTTTTATTCACTAACATGTAACCTTTACGCAGGTTATTGATATTTCTGCTATCTTAGCAGAGGCCATCCGTCGTACTCACAACGGTGAATCTGTTTCGTACCTTTTCCGAAATGTACCATTATAGGTGAAGCCTTAGTATTGCGTTTTTTGACCTGTGCGTGTTGATTCTTACCGTACTAGAAAGTCCACGGTTACTTCTGGATATTACAATACTAGATGTCATTACACTCATTATAATGCAGTTTTTGAAGTTGACATGATACCATTTTTTAGAGCAATCATAATATGACTAATTTATTTGCGTAAGTTATAGATAATTTCTGCAACTATTGTATTATATGTAGCTGCAACATAGTACGCTTTAAATACTAGACATCACTATATCTAGATTGCAAGGATATTTCTTTCGAATTTAAGAGACATGCTGATAGAAATTCCTTGGCCGCAAAGCAAATCATGTACTGCATTTATTGTAGAAACCTTCGCGATTCACACACTTTACATAATGTTCTTGATTTATAGGAAAACTGACTGTTCAAAGTAAATTTTAGTATGCTATATGTTTTTATGCAACCGTGTATTATGATGATTGTCTGTAAGTTATGATTCATCGGGATAAGATTTATAAGCTATAATTGAATAATTTTGGCTTACAATACTTTGTGTTATATCGAATATGTAATACATGAAAGCAACGATAGCTCACCTCTATTTCTAACCGGGGATATTTTACTGTTGCAAGTCTACAAGAAGTTTATCACCAAATTATTAACTTCTCTCAGTTCTAAATTTACCGTAAGCAATACTCTCATAGTACACAGAATTTATTTAATTGAATAACGTACGCGTATGACATGCACGAGTTACTTAATTGTTATGCAGGTTTACTATAAAAGTAATTTTCGCCAACCAATCGGTGCTTAGCCGAAAGTCTTGTTCAGCAAATGCACCTGCAAAGTCATTTATAATCTTACTTTATAAAATTTTGGATACGCTTCTTACAATTAAATATTGTACTCTGGTGCTTATGGCTCTGAACATTACATTGCCAATTGTAGTTATAGCGGCAAACTGGTATACTTGATGGATGATTTCTATTCACGATAAAGAGAGTAGTTATACATTTTCCATGCGGTAATCAGGTTCTATTAAACTACTACTCGTATACGCGTAGTATCATAAACGTATGTAAAATAGTGCATAATCGTGCGAAACAGCTGCTACATTTTTTTGCACATACGCACATATGACTATTTTGCACTGGTACCAAATAGTCCAATATGTTAAGCATTACGGCAACCATCGACAGTATAATTCTGTAGTTATCATTAATAAACTAAGCAATTATTGAGATCATCATTTTATTAAAGATAATACAGTAGAAGATTGTGTGTTGTAAATCGTAATAGTAAAGATACGTTATATTGCTGAATCTAGTCTAGTCTTAATGGAACGTATCGGTTGCAGTAAAATGTCAATATCATTAATATTTATGGTGTGCTTCAAACAATACAATCATCATTGTCGTTCTTATAGCTGTTAAAGTAATAATAGCTTATGATTCGTGATACAAAAACTTAAATAAAGTTTTCAAATCTTGACTTTGTACTTGAATTATGACGAAATATAATTGCTTTTCCGTCTAGCTCATGAGGTGGTCCTCATTGCTATAAGATAAAATGACTGGCGATCAAGATGGTCATACAGAAGAGTACAGGAGTCAATTAGTTTTTTAACAATTTTCGAGCGACGGCTAGATAATTTTTGCATTTCAATATAGAGAATAGTTGCCAAGCAAAATAATAGCGTGCCTAACAGTTGTAACAACTTCAGAGTTTATCAATCACCTAATCTTGGCATTAAAATTAAAATTTATATCTACACATTATAAGGCATTCTCGTTCACTTATGCCTTCCATAAAAATTATTTATTGTACTTATATCGACCCTATTCGTTCGTTTGTGGCATATAACAAAATTAGTCAAAAAATATTAATAAACTAATCGAGGTGATGCAATAGAAGAGAGGTGTATATTAAAATTTTTTATAAATCTAAACATATAAATTTCAGTGTTTTATACGTTGATTTTGCAATATATATCTTTGTGTTTCATTTACTAATACGTTTATTTGCCATAAATCTTGTTGGACAGAATTAAACTTTTAACGGGACGTATTGATAGTCGATGCAGTCTTTTCGATACCTTCACCACAGCTAAAAACCATTAATTTAGTTTTCGTTTCTATCGGTGACATTGTACGGCTAACCATATAACCTTGCTTGGTAAAGACCATGGCACCAGTCATATGGCCAAAGCGCTGAGCAACTAAATTGTCTGAATTTACACCAAAATCGAGCAAATTATCCTCTGCTTGTTTTGGATTTAATCGGGCTGGAGAGGAGATCAAAAAGCGTATCGTACTTTTGTGTCGTAGTGGACATACACGTACTAACTTAGACCATGCAGTTTGTAAAACTCCGCCTAGTGAAAAATGATTGCAAATAAGTGAGAATGCTATTTTAATCAAGGTTATTAATCATATTTTAAAATAATCCATAAATAATCAATTAATAATTATTAGTAATGAATCGTACAGTCAGTCTATACTAATTTCTTTAAGAATAATTCGGATATTCGTTTGCGGAAGCTTAATTTAATTGACTTACTAGATACTGCTGTATTGGCAGCGGTCGGAGTTATGACTGGAATTCGTAACAATAATCCGATATTTGTACCAATCCATAAGCAACTCTCATTAATTGCAAGAGCAGTAACGCAGAGAACAGTCATTTTTCCTAAACATGAAGTAGCTTTTAGGAGTAGTTGTATGTATGTTCTTACTTAAAATGCTGGCGTTTATGCAGTATTAATAAAGCTACTTGCAATTACGTCATTTGTAATTACTAATACAAAATATAACTTGATTACCGATTGCTCCTTCGATATGATGGCATATATCTATTTCCTTCATCGTTTGAAAACTGGTTGTATTAACTGCACGGATAATACTATTTTTTCTGGTAGCAACCCATGCGACGTCACCACCGCATACCACATGTGTTACATAATGTTTCGTACGGGGATGACATTGAATTGATGCCTAAAGATTAGAGCATTTCTTAAATCATACGCATGTACCGTATTTGTACTATGAGCTCTTGTAAATGCTAATATGTAATAAGCTTTGAAGAATACACCGCACATAGTAAGTATAGGTATAAACAATTTTACTAATGTCTCGAATCAAAGAAACAAGCTTCAGTACATAAATTCTAACTAACCTCAACTTGCATATTTTCGGGTTTAATAACATGTAGCATGTTACTGCAGCTTGCCCATAACTTTTTACCAGATGATTTTATACATATTACAGGTGCTACAGCATGACTTCCCAGGTTTATAACTTTATGATCATCGAACTTCCATAATCCCTCTAACAGTATCAATTAAAGTTTTAAATTAAAGACGTCATTCATACAGCCTTACAATTAATTTATTCAAAACTTGTACCTTTATCTCGCTCGAAAACAGTCACTGTACCGTTGACAAGGCCAACATAAACCCGATTATCGAAGTAACTATAAAGAAGTTATAGAAAAATAGAATATAAATCTATTTACTCTTAGAATACCAAAAAACTCGACGTTAGGAATCAAAAAAAATATCTAAAAAAATTTCTTATACGACACTAACAGCTTCATGAGCCGAAATTTCCTGACTTATTTTAGCTTGATTATAGTTCTAATGCTAATATATACGATTTTATGATAAATCTTCTTCGTCACTTAAATAATATTTTTCGATTTAGATTCGCTTCATTAAGGCATGACTTACTGGATACTTAGAACTGCATCTCTTAGTTGCATGGAATGAATTGCTTCATGGCGTTTAGGACCGCAAGGATGAATATAAAGCCTATGTAATAGCAAGTATTAAATATATGAATTCATGTACAGATATCTAGCCTACGTGAATATCATGATAACTATAAAACAATGTTGCAATCGTCTACTACAGTTCTCTAAGAGCTTGTAACTATACGTATGCATTATAATATTAATTTGCTTAATTATTATCTGATCAACTTTCTGTAATTTAATTGAGTAATGATTTCAATTAAATAAATTGGACAAAATACTACAATAACTGATTTCATTTTAAGTGTGTCAATAGTTTACGATTTAAGCTTCAAAATTTTACTAGCGGAGATTATAGGAGACAATTTAAGTCAGAGAATGTTATTCAACGCAATAACATGCAGATACTGCAAGATTAAATATAGAATTTTGAACTGGTTGCACAGCATCTTACCATCCAGATTCAGATCCCATCCACATGCAAGGCAGATTTACATCGTTAGAGGTTTTTTTACCCATTAAAGCTTTATACCTTTCCATCGCTGCTGCATCTTGCTGTTCAGCTGTTGTTGTGACATGATCAGTTATATCGTGCTCATGTGATTCGGTTGCACGATTAACATCAGGAGTAAATCCTGGAACTGCTGAAATACACAGCAACGGCGAGGCACATACTCGAAAAGAGTCGATACATTCACCGCATTTATCAATTAAATCTAATACCGCTACATGCCCTTGCCTAGTACATAACCAAACAATTGATGATTTATTGAGATTGTCTGGAGTTTCTACAGTCTCTCCAATCACGTTAGGCTCATCATCTGCTCCTTGCTCGTGTTGAGAGTTATTACTGTGATCGGACATAGAATCGTGATGAATTTCAGTATTTGCGTTTACATCATCATTTCCATTTTGAATAGGCTCATCGTCCTCCGTTGTGGGAAATAACTTTCTCGCTATTTCGCTTTTACTCTGTTTCGGCTTATCGGATTCCACTAAGTAAGCTCTTGCTCCGGTAATGCATGCATCCTAACAAAAATGTACATTTTGCTTATATTAACACTCTTAATGCAGATTCTTCACGGGTAACATTGAAAAGTAATAGTGACGGAGCTGCATTAAATCTTGACAGATCATAATGATATGAAATTCATGAATCCTACCGTCGAATTCAAGAATGTTAGGTCTAAACTCTTGCTGCTGTATAAGCTTCTCTGGGTATCAATCGTATGACGTATAAGTAAATTTTCTATTGAAAAGTAGT